GGCAAAACGACAGGCAGAAGAGGCGTTCAAGCAGTCCGATGAGTACAAGGTCCAACGTGCAGTCGCCAAGTTCATGGACCCTTTCGTCCCAAAGATGCCCAAGCGCGAGGTCATCCACAGGAAGGTCATGGACACCATCGCCAACAGGGTCACGACATGGGACGAGCATGCCACAATAGTCAGCGGCCGCCCCCAGACTGGCAAGACCGCTGCGGTGGAGGAAGTCCTTCGTGGTGCGCGGGGAATCTTCAAGCACACGGTGGAAAGCGAGAACTGGAAGAAAGAGCTTTACGAGAGCCTTCAGGTTGATGGACCTGGTATGTTTGAGACTGTCCTTGTCCGAGTGAAAGCAGAGTTGGTGAAGTTGACTGACCCCATCACCAAGACACCAATCATACTGTTTGAAGTCCCACGCACCACAACCAAAGGCAGGGGACAAAACTTAACCACCGTCGCCCCTCAAGCTCACTAATCCTTACCCTGCTCTGTTCGCGCAGGTATGGACACCATTTCTTCGACAACGAAGGATTTATCCACGGAAGGGGGCAAAGCAGCGCACGCTGGGAACTTAAAACAAGAGCTCTATAACCGTTCCAGAATAAGTTCCTCAGTTGATAAGTAAGTGTGTTGCCGTTTCTTCGGGGCTGGGTTTCAGGGTTCTTGCAAGGTCATCATTTCTGCCTCATCCGCTGTGGCTGCACTGGCGTTCGACGCCGGTGGTGCAAATCGTCAGAAAGACATTTGGATAGATGACCTGACGGCAGAGGAGGCGAAGAAGGTGCTCACCCTGCACGGGCATGAAGAGAATGCTCAAGACATCATCGAAGCCTGTGCTTCGGTCGCGCGTGTAGTCAGGTTGCTTTTTTGTGTTGATGCTATTTGGTTTTGCAAGGGCGCTCCCTGTCGTGTCAGGTGGCTCTCGCGTTGGCGACTTGACAGAATCGTGCAAGGACATGGTCGCTGGCAAGACGCTGCAGGAGTTGAAGCAGGAGACAGAAGCCACTGCGGAGATGGAGGTGCGGGATTTCCTCGACTTGGAGGTCGAGTTTGCTGGTGGCCGCATAATTCCCATCGGCCGCAATCTCCTGACCGTCCTGACCGAGCTGGCAAGCAGCAAGCAACGTGGAGGTGACGGCGCTGCTCGAAACTCTGCAGGAAAGGGCATCGTCCCCAAAATGGTCGCCGGACTGATACGTGAGAGAGGGGCACACGCAGTAGTTTGGCATCCGACCCGAAAGAGGTATCAATTCGCATCTGATTTCCATGCGAGTGCCGCGATAGAGTTGTTGAGGTCGCAAAGTCCAAACATATGGGCTTGGCTTAGAAGGGTTTTTCCGACGAGGCTGACATTTCAAGAGTCATCGTCCGGCACGCGCCCTGCTCCGCAGCTTGAGTCAAAACAGTCGGGATTTCTTACAGGCTCGTCCCTCAAATCCCTGCTGAATTCACAAGGCTTCTTGTAGGAA